GACCAAAACGCTGGCTTGCATCCATAGATGCTTCTCAAGCAAATCCTGGGACATTATTCTCCCCTTGTACTCAGCCTTAGTGAGGCCGCAGCTGGAGTACTGCGTCCAGTTTTGGGCTCCACAATTCAAAAAGGATGTGGAGAAGCTTGAGAGAGTCCAGAGAAGAGCCACGCGCATGATCAGAGGTCAGGGAAGCAGACCCTACGATGACAGGCTGAGAGCCCTGGGGCTCTTTAGCCTGGAAAAGCGCAGGCTCAGGGGTGATCTGATGGCCACCTATAAGTTTTTCAGGGGTGACCACCAGTATCTGGGGGAACGTTTGTTCACCAGAGCGCCCCAAGGGATGACGACTAGGTCGAATGGTCATAAACTACTACAAAACCGTTTCGGGCTGGACACAAGGAAGAATTTCTTTACTGTCCGAGCCCCCAAGGTCTGGAACAGCCTGCCACCAGAGGTGGTTCAAGCGCCTACATTGAACACCTTCAAGAGCAAACTGGATGCTTATCTTGCTGGGATCCTATGACCCCAGCTGACTTCCTGCCCTTTGGGAAGGGGGCTGGACTCGATGATCTTCCGAGGTCCCTTCCAGCCCTAATGTCTATGAAATCTATATGCTTTTCCTAGACTATAAGGAATAATCAAATGGCAAGAAATTGTTCCTCAAGCTTCAATATTGTTGCCTACAGCAATGAAAATGTAAGGCACTTTTCCAAGGTATTTAACCAAGAAAATGTACAGTTAGCATAAAATATAATCCCCTCACACAGCAAGCAACAGCATAACATTTGTAGCCATTACAATATACTTAAAAGAAAGAACAAAACACAGTGGTAACTTAGACTGGCCTAAAATTATAAGCATGAGAAGCAGTCAAACATGGGGCAAAGACATCACAGCACCCATTGTATCGCTCCTCAGCAGCTGACCTTTCTTGACCATGGCCATATGGCATAGAGCACATACATAGAGTCAGAAAGGTCAAATATGTGCACTTGGATAGTTGCCTGGTCTATGAATGCTTCCATTTGATCCCACATATTATCACTTTAATACATAACATTTCATTTTCTTGTTCAGCCCATATAACATTCCCCTAACATATTCAGGGACTACTGAGGGGCAATACTTAAAATGTATTTAAGAATACTCTTAAAAACCAGAAGAAAAAAAAAGTGTCAGCATAAGTTTAATTTACTGACCTTTCTGTTACCTTGTTACCCAAATATATGCACATGGAATGCCCTGCATTGACCTAATGTTAAATATCCCATCATCACAGACGCAGCATTTGCTGTCATTTAATAATGGAGCAGGACTTACTCAGTTTACAAGCCAGCAAAACTATAGTGGCAACAGAAAAAAAATTGTCTTTTAAAACGGAAAGAAGCCTGCTGCTGGTTAACAATGATAATTAATGTAGGAAAATCTTGTATTAAGAATTATTACCTGATTCACACACTATGGATCCTGGCTTCAGTTCTAACATCATGGTGATTAGAGAGATGTCAGTTGAATAAAGAATTTGAGTTCTGTGGGGAAGATTCATAGTCCATAACTCTGGAGTCGGATGGAGAATAACCACCCATCCCCCTTTACTGCAGGTCACCTTTGAGCCATACTTTTTGCCTATGAGATCAGTGGAATGTCTAATGACACCATACTTAGTCTGAGTTTTGCTGCCATGCTGGACTTTCACAGGAAACATAGATTCATGACCCAAGAAGACAATAGCTGTGTCTCCTTCTTGTATTGTATCTCCATATTCAACAAAACTCATCGTGGCAATCTTGTAGCTGGCTGGCTATTTTCACCTAAAGAAGAAACATAACAAAGAGCATTACAACTTGAGGCCATGACAGAGCTATATTTGGAGCTCTAAAGAGATAAAAGCAGGCAAGGAGATGGTAGCTGTAACTAGCTATTAAATTTCAGTGCACAAGTTCTAAGAACAGGACTATTAAATAATGACATTTTGGTCTCTTCTGCCCCTAGTCTTTGGTGATTTGTTACTTGAGACATCAAAAAACACTGTCCAAAGCAAAGGCCAGCTTTACAAGGGGAATGAACTGAACACCCATCCCTGATTTCAAAAGCTAAAGTGAAAACGTATACTCTGTCAGTTGAGAGGTTTTAAATTTTGTCTTATTAAGAACCTGATCAAAGAGGCTAGGCCCTACTTCAAATTATACTATTTAAAAATAGGCTACATGGAACCAGCAATCCACCTGGCATAAAGAGCATCAAATAACCTTTCTGTGATCCCGTTAATGTAACCAAACATTTACAAATAGATGGCTTAAAACTGCTTAGACACAGTGGGCACGTCTACAAGTGCAGTAATGCACTTTAGTTAACGCACATTAAATCTAGTACCTCCATCAGGAAGTACTAGGAAAATGCACATTTGCCTATTTTAATGCATTTTAACTAAATAACATTTTTTTTTAGTGTCACTTCACTTTAACACACATTAAAATAAGCTAATGTACATTAAGGCGCACGTGTAGATGTTCCCAGCCTTCCATGAAATGCCACAGAAGCTAGGCGGAAAGGTTTAAGCTGGTGGAACTGTTAAACGTTCAGCTACTTAATATCAATTAACCCTAGCTTCTGGCTGGTGACATTTTGGTATATGAGGTGTATGTCATAATTTGGACCATTTCTTGTTGCCCCATTCCTTGCTTTAAAAAGTAACCAATGCACCCACGTATTCCCCATGGGGTTTGCGTTGGTCTTTGAAACCATACGAGCAGTTAATGCTCCAAGCGCTGCGCACGTGCTGTCGTTACATGTTCTCCACGTTACAGAACTCATTTCAAAGCATCACTTCGCGCACCTGGAGAAACCTGTGCTAGGACCAGGTACATGTAGGGGAGGGAAAGATAGTTAGACACTAAGATTTTATGCCTCCCTCCGAGGCACTGGGTGTTGGGTACAGCCCAGGCTGCGGGCTTAGGGCTGTGCGAATACGCCTGCTGGGACCAGAGCCCCTCTGCTCACGATCAGCCCGACTGCCACATCTGGCGTCAGAAAGGGATTTTAAGCCAGGGTCTGACTGGGAGGGACTGGGGGAGTTTTGCCTTCCCCTGTGACATCTCGAGTGTACACTGACAGCATTTCATAGGAGCCGCCGTGGTTGCCTTGCTTTCCCCGTGGCAGGCCAGGGTGCTCGGCCTGTGTCGTGTCAGGCTCCGGGTCCCTTCCAGTTCCAGGCGTGGGCTGGACCCAGCCCCAGCCCCACTTCTCCCGGGCTCCTCAGGTCGGGTGGGGGAGGCTCGGACCCTCCTCAAAGCGGCCCAGGCTGGGGAAAGCCCTGGCTTGGGCAGCACTTCCTCGAGCCACCCCACAGGCCATGTCGTGCCCGCACCCGGGGCCCTCGCCCCAAGGCAGGGGGGAGGGAGGCGGCAGCGCCCCATTACCTGCAGGCCCGGCCCGACCCGGCCCGCTCCGGCCGCGCACGTGGAGCCCCCCAGGTTTCCGCGCCGCCGGTCGCAGCCTGTGACGCGAGGGGGCGGAGCCTCCCTCGCCCCGCCCACAAGCGCCGCGCCGGGCTCTGCGTGCCGGGGAGGGGTGGGGAGCACGTGCGCGCGCTTTCGGCGCTGCTCTGCGCAAAGTTAAAACCGGTGGTTCTCAACCTTGTCTTTGTACCAATAAATAAATAAATTAATTAAACCCCCCCATCCCCCTCCACCTTATCTTCGTAGCAGGACCCATCTGTAACCATCAATGGCCAGTGCTGACCCACTGAGCCCTTTCCCCGGGGGGCCCTTGCAGCCCCTTGCAGCTGGAGCTCTGCTTGCCTGCCTGCCTGCCTGCCAGGAAAACCACATTTTTCTCCTGTAAAAGGAGAATCCATTTTTTAAAGCTTGTTCTTGACCTTTTCATGTACTCTTGCAGCCCACAGGTTGAGGGACGCTGGTTTAAGCCCAGCTCCGGAGCAGCGACAGCACCTTTCTAGTCGAGCGGTGCTGAGGGACTTACTCAGCTTCGTGGCTGGGGGCCATCTGCCAGCTCCTGTCCAGTCTTCACCACACGGGTGTTAACCCCGTCTCCTCTCTTTAATAGCCTGGATGTCTTTGTTCTGCCCTGCTGCAGTCTGTGCCCTGTAGTCAGGAGCTCCCATTTCACAGCCCTCATTGCAGTGAAGGGCTGTTGGCTTTTGCTTCAGTCTTAAACGGACTAATCTGGCTCCTGGTGTCTGAGTAAAGCTTCTAGTTTATTTTTAACCGGAGAATAATGTGTGCTGTTTTCTAGGTGCTGTTGCAGCTCAGCGTCTGCACCCCTGCTTTCTGAATCCCAGCTCCTTCCATGCTTGTTCAAATGCAAATCAAACGGGTTGTCTGTTTTCAGTCCCTGATCCCGGATTGCACAGTAATGAGCAGTGGTGCTGAGGGCCAGGGGCCAGCTACGTGCCCACGTTCAGTGCTGTTTGGCTTGTAAGAGCAAAACTGCCCTGGGTGCAGCACCTCCCACTGCAGCAGGGGGAATGTAGGCAGGATGAGGAGGAACTTTCTGACTCTGAGGGTGGTAAAGCATTGAAACGGGCTGCCTAGAGAGGCATCTCCATCCCTGGAAGTTTTCAAGAGCAGGTTGGACAGACACTTAGCTGGGATGGTTTAGTCAGGGGTGAACAGGCCCTGAGCAGCGAGTTGGACTAGACCAGTGGTTCTCAACCTTTTTTGTACCAGGACCCATCTGTGAACATTGATAGCCAGTCCTGACCCACTGCCCCTCTCTCCCAACCCCAGTGTGTGGGGCAGGGTGGAGTTTGTGTGGGACACGGAGGACCCCAAGCAGTCCCTCGCAGCTGGAACTCTGCCAGCCTGCAAGGGAAAAGCCATGGCTTCCCACGTTTTTCTCCTTTAAAGAAGAATCCATTTTTAACGTTTGTTGATCCGTTTTTAAAGTTTGTTCACGACCCTTTTATATATTCTTGTGACCCACTTTTGGTTCATGACCCACAGGATGAGAAATGCTGGAGTAGACAACCTCATAAGGTCCCTTCCAGCCCTACCTTCCTATGATGCTATAATACCCAGTCCATGGGCAGATCTAGGATTTTGAAAAGGGGCGTGCAGATGGCAAGGTACACCAGCAAATATGACACAATGCATATGCTTCTCCAGTTAAAAATAATCAAGAAGCTTTACTCATATGTGACGAGCCAGGGGCTGGATTATCCAGTTTAAAGCTAATAGAGCTTCATTGGAATGAGTTAAAAACCAACTGCAGGGCTGTGAAATAGGAGCTTCAACTGGGGTAGTGTGTCCAGTTGTGGGCACCCTACTTCAGGCGAGACGTGAATAAATTGGAAAGAATCCAGAGAAACCAACTCTGTTAGAGGTCAAAAAACGTATCATATGAGGAGAGGTTGGAGAACTGGGATTATTTTGTCTGAAGAAGAGAAGGACAAAGTGGGAATTTGGTAGCAGTCTTTAAATACTAAAAAGGTGGTTACAAAGAGGATGGTGATCAAATATTCTCTGTCTCTGGAAGGGATAGTATAAGAAATTATGGTGCTATATTACAAAAATGGAAATCTAGGCTGGGTATCTAGGCTTAGTTAGAAAGTTCTTCCTATGGGTTGTCAAACATGGTAACAATCTAGAGAAACTGCAGAATTCCCCTCTTGGAAGTTTTTAAGAACAGGTTAAACAAATCCTTGACTGGGATCAGTGGTGATCCGTAGGAGGTGCATGGGGGTGCACATGCACCCTGTGAGAGCGCTGGTGCATCACCTGTCAGGCCACACTCCCTGTTTAGCGATGGGCAGGGGGACAGGCAGGAGTGCCGGTGCGCCCCTGTGAGCACCGGCTGGGGAGCGGGGCAAAAGCTGCCACAGGACTTCTGGAAGTGGCGTGGCTACAGGACTTCTGGAATTGGAGTGGGATTGGCCATGCAGGATCCCCCCCACCCCACGGTCAGCACGATCAGCCGTGGGGGACCCCCCACGCACCTCCCCTGACTCAAGAGGCATCAGTTGCCCATGACTGGGATGGTTTAGAGAGGAATATTCCTGCCCTGAACAGGGGTTTGACTAGATCAGTGTTTCTCAACCTGTGGGTCATAACCCAAAAGTGTGTCACAAGAATATATGAAAGGGTCATGAACAAACTTTAAAATAGATTCTCCTTTAAAGGAGAAAAACGTGGGAAATGGTGGCTTTTCTCTAGCAGGGTGGCTGTGTTCCAGCTGCAAGGGGCTGCTTAGGGCCCCCTGTGGCCCACCCCCACTCCCTGCCCCACACACTGGGGGTCTGGGGCCTGGAGGTGGGGCACACTGAATCGGGAGTAAGGGGCACTGGGTCAGGACTGGCCATCAATATTTATGAATGGGTCCTGGTCCAGAAAAGTTTGAGAACCACTGCCCTAGATGACCTCCTGAGGTACTATCTACACATGGTTGTCTATGATTCTAAGTATTCAGGAAAGCAGGCAGGATTCATGAGTTCATGCATAAATGGTTACTATAGAGCAGAATCAAGTTCTGGAAAAGCCTGCTAAGATCAACTGCCCACTGCTATTGTAGACCATAGAAAAACAGAAATTGATTCAGAAGCAGTGTTATAAAGGCCAAGGGTGATCAACTTCACCCATCACTTAGCCCCATGTGAAGGGCTTAAGGCAGTGATGGTCAACCTATGGCCCAAAGGCCTGGTCCAGCCCCTGAAGTGACAGGATTCAGCCCCTTTCACAGGGGATCAGCAAGTAGCTTGGCCCAACCTGTCCCCTTTCCTTCCCTGCCTTGTGCTGTGTTGCTGATCTCCCCACTCCACCAGCCCAGAGCTAAACTCTCTTCTTCTCCCCCTCCCCACCTCCCCTCTCTCTTCTGGCACTGGCAGCTATCTCCTTTCCCCAACCCCTACCAGAGGCAAGCAGCAGGGGCTGCTGTTTTAAAAGGATGAGCTCCAGTGACTTCTAAGGAGTTTGTAGAGCCAGAGATGAGCCTGCAACTTTGGGGAATTTCTCTGTAGAGAGGACAATGTAAAGGAATAGAACATACTTTATCTTCTGCTTTTAAAAGAGATGAATCCCCTTGCATGGGAACAGCACACACAAAAAGAGGGCACTTGAACCATCTTGGATGTGTGGACAGGATTCTTGCCTATTTTAACAAGGCAGATAATCCTCTACATTTTACTGAGGCATGCCTTCAGAACATCAAACATGCCTTCAGAAATCAAATTCCCAGCCAATGCAAACTTCGATAGAAAGGCTGCCTGGAAAAGAATGTATGAGCATTACCTCAATCATCCTTCTGTGGAAATGAATGAATCTTGCTATTACTGTTAGTGGGAACAGGATGAGTAGCTAGTGTTTACCTAATGAGATCCCTGCACCCATCCACCCTACAAACACAACTGTTTTATATCCCTCAGGCTGTTCTGCATGCAGCATATGCAGTTTCTAAGATTTTTGTTTTTTAGATTATGCCACCATCTCTGTAGTTAGCTTTTTGCCTCACAGCCATGACTGAACTGTGTCTGGCTAGCACCTAGCATACAGCCTAACTCTGTTGCATCAGTGCATCCTAGGACAAGGATGTTGTTCAAACAATAGAGAGCCTAATTGTGCAAATGGCACCCTCAGCTACCTTTAACTTCAGTAGGAGCTGTGAGTACTCAGCTTCAGACTGGAAGTCCTCAGCTCTTTTCAAGGATGAGCCCCAAATGACAAGACCTTGAATAAACCTTGCCCTGTCCATAAACATGTCAACTATGATGCACAGGCAGGTACATTTAAGTGATTAAATTAATTTTATTTTCCACTTGGGAAGTCAAGCAAATGCCAGCAGAGCCAAACGTTCCACTCCATTGATCCATGTGAATTTGGCATATTTTCAAAGTGCTATTTAGTGACAATTTATTACCCTGAATTGTCAATTCAGGTATTGGATACCTTTCTCTTGGGGTGATAGCTTGTCTACCTTCCCTTATTGATTCCTCCTTTCTGGGCATTTTGCTGAATTCTCAAGGAAATGTTTATCCTCTAATTCTCCAATATCACTTTATGTTCACCTGGATAATTTCAGAAGATGTGTTCACTAAGTAACACCCATCTCCTCTTGCATTCATATGCTGCACAACATTGATAATTAAGACTCCTGGGAAGTTAACTGAATGGCTCATGACTGACTTGCCTTAAACTCCCTACCATGGAAGCTCAACATGAAAATCTCAGAGGTAATTACCATACTTCCATCCTGGGCTGTATTACTGCAACCTGCCATTAAACTCAGTATGCATCAAGACACTAATTACTGCATGATATAATGCATATAATGCTGCCACTATCACAACTGTGTAAGCAGTAGGTGCTTATCTGAAGAAATATCACTTCTCATCTGATGAACTGGATAAAACAGTCAGATTGTGTTGACATACTGTATTTAAGTCTACTGCACAACATTTATAATTAAGCCACTGGGGAAGTTTGGGTGGGGTGATGTAACAGAAAGAGCATGAATCCAATTTAAGAACAAGCTCTTTATAAGTCTCAAAAACTCTACCTGAACACAACTTAGAGATG